CATTATTGCTGCAGTGTGGGACCTCAGCTTTCACTAAATCAGCTCCTTGGCTTTCACTGGAAGCTTCCGATTTCTCCTTTGGCTGATCTTCAGATGAAGCTTTTTGCTTGTTACTAGATCCATCACTGTTGTCACAGGGCAAAGCAACATCAATTGATTCCATTTTACTGTTGTGACATGCTGGAACAGTTATACCCTCTACGCTGTGCACAGATGTCTCTCCATTTACACAGTCTCCTTTGGATGTAGAGTCCTTCCTTAATTCCTTTTCCACATTCAGGGTAACGCTGTCGGTTATTAACAGCGATTCATTCGAGCTCTCCTCTTCCGTGGATGCAAAATTGTTTTCCTTGGATGATGTCCCGTTGTTAAGTCTCTGCTCTGCATCAATATCCATAATATCACAAGAGGATTCATCGTTTGTCATAGAGAGATCACCTGTTTCCTCCCCGTTCTCCTCAATGCAGTCAGTGCTGACTTCCAGTTCTCCATTTTCCAGCAATTTGCTGTCCTCGCCATGATTTTCATCATCAGCAAACTTGGCATCATCTTCATCTTTCTTTAAGTTATTGACTTTCCTCTTCTTAATAATTCCTTTGCCCCACTGTGAACGCCGTCTTGATTTTCTCCTTATTCGAACTATATTATAAAGGAAAGAAGCCACTTTTAAATGCACAGGTAACCTTCAGTAAATAGATACCAGAATATGCTCTAACCTGAAGCAAATATGTTCACATGTAACAAAAAAGTAAAACGCTCACTGACTTCAGTGTGAGCACTGAAGTCCAGTAAGAGACATGCAATTTTGCATAGCTCTCCTACTTCAGATTAGGGAAAATAAACCACTTCAAAAGGCTTGCACACAGCAAAACTTCCCCATCCTCTGCAGCTTGACTCGAAGCAACAAGACCCTGAGATTATTTTGTTGCCTTTTCCCTATTACTTCATCTTTTCCTATTTCTTATGCATCCTTCCCATGCTTTCTTTCTACAAATCAGAATAACAACTATTTTTTCAGAAAGGACAGTGATTTCACAAATCTGTTTGTGGTGAGACACAACACAGCACCAATGTGAAAGAGGTTTAAAAGCACATTTACAATATAATCTACAACGAAGAAGGAAAGAGCATTAGATTTGAGTGGTCTTTTCCACACCCTTTCAAAGGGTACCAAGGAGAACTCAAAAGACCAATGAAAAGGTTGGGAAAAATGGGAATTGTATATTCAAATTAAAGCAATGACGCTGCTTTGATTGATGGGTTTTAAGTCCTAAATCCGTCCTTGCCCGTCTCACCCTGGGTTACAAATATCAGTGCTCCTGAGAGCCCTCTGAAGACACATGCAGTTTGTGGGTCCAGGTGTTGAGAATGAAACCACAGGAGCTCCCACGGGAATGACTGCACTTCACAGTTCCCTCCCTGCAGATGCCCTTTGTGAGCAGGTAGTTTAACCACCACATTGAGAATACATTTGCCATTAACCTTTTAGTTTTAAGAGCTATTTAAAGATATAGTCAGATTATCGTAAAAAAATGGTAGTATCACTTGGAGCGTGTATTTATTGTTACATATAATCCTGACTGAAAACTATAAGATTTGAAGGGGGCAAAAAAAACCCAAAAAAAAAAAACCACCACTTTCTCCAGCTACTTTGTAGATTTGATGGCAGCTTCTACAGGCAGTTTCACTGTTTTATTGCTGCATCACAACCCATTCCTGCAACTTTTCAGGAACTCAATATAACTTTTCCCCAGATTTTGCAAGAGCTGCTTCTGTTGTTAGTGAATATCAAGTCTGAAATGAATGGGCAAATGTAAACTTACATAGAGAATTAATTCCTCTGTTAAGAAAGGGGTTTACTCTGAGGTCAACTCCAAGGATGGATATAGAAAACACAGAAAGGGAATAAAAAGTATAGGAAATACAGAAGGAGAATTAAAGTAAATGTTAATTAACATGCCCTGA